ACATAATTAACACTTCTGCTTGTATCATATCTGCTAGCATTCCACTGGCCAAAGCCAAGTTATGAAACCAAGCCCACCCGAGTAGCGTGGGGAAATTTACTTCACCTTCATGGAAATGGTGCACAGTCACGTGGTAGAGGGTATATCTACAGGGACAGACTAAGACTTGAGAACCAAAATACAATCTACCACACCCAAGGAGGCAGACTTTTAGGAAACTAGGTTATGTTGAGATAAAGGCAGGACAGAATCTGTAAAGGGACTCAGGGGACTGGAGAATCTATAAAGGGACAACAGATCTTGTTCATATGACGAGGAAAAGTGGCCACCAGGAAAAACAGCACTTGAAGATATGAGCAAGAGAGACCAGTGGTACGTCCTCTAAAAATTCCAGTGTAAGTAGCAAAGTTCATAGAGGGGCGGGTGGGCACCGATATGATTTCCTCTAAGAAGGATATTGGCTGAATAGGAGCTGGGCCTGAGGTTTCCAAAAATAAGCGTGGACCATGAGAGGAGACCTCAGCCAAACGAAAGCACCTTCCAGCACTGTCCTGGAGGGTCGCAGGAGGGCCCAGTTTGTAGAGGCCCTGACTCACAGGGGACAGTCGCTTCCTGCAGCCTGTCCTTGAGGTTGGAGCGGAAATGGTGGGCTGTCGGGTTGGCCCAGGCAGGTCTGGAGGCAGGTAGGCTACGGTTGGAGGGACAGGGAGGGTGGAAGCTGACAGCTGGTGAGGGTTCAAGAGATGAACCCAGGTTCCCGAGGAGAGGGAAGCCATGTAGGCTGCCGGGGCTGAAGGGCTGGAAGGAAACAAACGGTGTGAGGGGCTAGAGGTGGGGGCGTGCGTGTGGTGGGGGTGAAGGGGTCAGGGCAGGGACACTGGGGTGTAGGATCTCAGAGGTAGAAAGTTCCAGGGAAATCCAGGGTGTGACCATGTGAGTGGGCTGTTGAAATGCATTGTGAAGGCCTTGGTATGGAGCCCAGGAACGGAGGCCAAGGCAGAACGAAGATTCCTGGGCCCCAGCCAGACCTACTGAGTGACTCTCTGGGACAGGGATGTAGATCCTGCGTTGTACCGCGCTCCCTGTGTGGTTCCTAGATTCCCCCAAGTTGAGAACTGCTGAGCTAAAATGGTGAAGGAGCTGTGCTTGTTGGAATTACTTGATGGCTGGAATCAGGCAGGAAGACTAAAAACAGTGTCTAACTCTGCAGAGCTTGGACTGGGTCCATGGCTGGACTGGTGACAAGGGGTGGAGGGAAGTTTGCCAACGAGGCAGGGGGAGCCATGATCTTGACCTAGAACAGCACCTGACAAAGGTGAAGGTGTGAAAAGGCAGAGGATGTCAGGGGCATTTATTCCCAAGCAAACCAGGCTTCTCGGGTGTGCAGCACAGCGGCTCGGAGGAAGCCTGCCGTGAGATGGGGAGCTCGGGGCAGGGGCAGCAGGTGAGGGGATGGGCAGATGTGAGTGGGGCTGGGCTGAGCGGAGGCCAGATTATCCCAGCCACTGCTTCTGCACTTGGCTAACTTTTCTAAACTGAACTTCATGGCTGTGTGATTGTTGTTGTCATCATTGTTGTTGTCCTCGTCGTCATCATCACCTTGGCTTTCTGAATACCTGCCAAGCACCAGGCATCACGCTTGAGCTATGATGCAAAGATGAAGGCGGGCTCTGGATCCTAAGCGGGGCTTCCGGGCCAGTCGGGAAGGCAGGATTCAGACGCCAGGGACAGACAGGCTGATATGGCAAGGGGACGAGGGGCAGGCTCAAGAACCCCACCCCCACCCCAGGAACCCGGGGGGAGGCTTGCTGTCCGTGCTAAGCTCTAATACCACCACATCACAGGCTATAAATGCGGCACTGCCGCATTAATAACCTGTGACCCAGGTTATTAGTGGGCCTCCCCCTAGGAGAGTCACAGAAGCAGACCTTGGCCTTGGCGGTACCCCCCAGCCACTCACGGGAGGAGGTCGTGGGCAAAGACCTGGAGTGTGCGGGTCCCCAGGCATGGCCCTCCTCCTATGCCCTTCCCAAATGTTATGAAATATGGGCAGCCGCCAGCCTTGTTCTGACTGCCTGCTCACAAGCCACCATACTGAGTCAAAGAATTGGGGGGAAAGTGCTTGAAGTGCAGGGTGCGTGAGCAAAGGCCCTGAGGTAGGAATGGGTTGGCCAGTTGAGGAGTAATGAGGCCGGTTCGTGGTGACAAAGGGAAGAACGGCATGTGACGATGTGGAAGAGACGACTCAGTCCCATCAGGCAGGGGCCTCAGAATGTTTGTGAGTATTTAGTATGTGTCTGGCATCACACCAGACACTGGAGATTCAAGAGGAAAAGCATTAAATCATAGCTCCTACTCTTTAAAAAAATTATCTTTAAAGAGAGGGGAAGGGAGGGAGAAAGAGAGGGAGAGAAACATCAGTGTGTGAGAGATACATCAATCAGCTGCCTCTAGCACACCCCCAGCTGGGCACCTGGCTCCACAACCCAGGCCTGTTCCCTGACTGGGAATCGAACCAGTGACCTCTCAGCTCTCAAGCTGGCACTCAATCTACTGAGCCACACCAGCCAGGGCTCATAGTCCCTATTCTTAATGAGGGTGATAAAGTCTCCAAAACTCTAGACTCTGAGATAAACATGTAAACAAAAAAAAAAATCTATAGCACAGGGTGTTGCGTGAGTGATCGAAGTACTACACAGTGTGTGCAAGTCCTAGACTTGGCCCCAGGGCTGGGCATGCTTGCAGGGTGTCCAACCTTTGGGCACCTCTGGGCCACACTGGAAGAAGAGTGGTCTTGGGCCACACATTAAATACACAGACACTAACGAAAACTGATGAACAACAACAAAAAACGGTTTAAAGTAAATTTACAATTTGTGTTGGGCCGTACTCATAGCCATCCTGGGCTGCATGCGGCCTGTGGCCTCAAGCTGGGCATCCCTGCTTAAGTCCGTGCTGGGATGGGAATGTCAGAGACAAGCTTTCTTGAAGAGAGCACACCTGACCTGAGTTTTGGGGGATGAAGAAGGAACAGTACTCCAGGCAGAAGGCACAGCATGTGCAAAGTCAGAAGGGTGTGAAATGATGTGATGGGTTCAAGCAAAATACAAATCTTTAGGTATTAATAAGGTGCCAAGTGCAGGAGGGAGTGAATAACGAAGCATCAGTCTGGCAGGCACGGGAAGTTCCCATGGGAGGGAGGTAAAACAGAAGCAGATTTGCAGCAGATGTGGTAAGTATCAGAACAGTCCAGAGGGGAGGATTGGATTCCTGAGTCTGCAGGAGCGCCCTAAAGTATCCACCCTCACCCCTTATCCCCAGCCCTGTCCTGGCTGCAAGTGTTTTACAAAATGGGTCCCAGATTGTTATCTACAATCTCGTTAATGTGTGTGTGGTTTCAGATTAGAATTCAATCTGTATTCTCTGCTGGCTAATGCCCAAGCCTGCATTTCCTGTTTTAGATGACACGGACTATGTTTGAATTTCTCAATATAATGCCTGACCCAGCTTTATCTGCAGAAAGGTGTGTTCACAGTGACTTTCAATGAGGCTTAACAATTCTTCACTCTGCATGTATCGACACAGACTTAGAGACGTAGGAGCTCCCTGGCCTAGAACTTTCTGCAAATTAGCTTGTCTCCCCCTCTACCTCCTCTGTAGCACACAAGGTGGGAAGCCAAGGGGTTCAATTCAGTTCTGTTTTGTTTATTGCGAGCCCTTTATGAGTCAGGCACTGAGAGGAAGCTGAACTGTAGGCAAGGAGACAGGGAGGGAGCAGGCCTTAGATAGGCTTGTGCCCTCAAGACGTATCCACATAAGAGAAACTTCACCTCTGGGGTTTCTGAATAAAACCCAGGATTAGGTGTTGGGATTACTATTCAGTTTGCAGATGATTTAACCCATCTGTTGGGTTTTGGGGTCGAGGTGGGGAATGAGGCCCTCAATTCATTGTGCATGAGGGTTCTATACTTCTATACTCTCCACACTGGAGACTTGGGGGTCAGGTTATTTGGCCTCCCTCAGGCCAGAGCACAGGTCACAGGGAAGACAAAAGCACCATCTCACCTGCTTTCCTCCCGCCATCTCCCTGTGGGAGAGAGAGCTAGCTTGACTGTTTGCAGCATTTCCTTCCCTTCCTGTGCTGGCTCAGGGCTAAGGCTGGAGCCAGAGGCTGGCCACAGCTCTGGTTTGCCCAAATTTGTAGATGTCGCCACACCTGCCCTTACATCTACTTCCATCCCATAGACCTTAACAGTGGGAGTTGGGTGGTGGCTAGTGATGTGGAAATCCTACAGGGTTTAGGAGTCGGAATATTTCGGCCCCAGTCCTGTCTCTGCCATCCATTGCTGCATAACCTTGGTCATGGCCTCTGAGCCTCTGTGGCCTCTTATCCTTCAGGGGATGGTTTACAGGTCACCTGTTCAGGGAGGGCCTCCCCCATTTAAGCTGGTCTTCCGTCCTCCATATCATCGCCCCCTAATCACACACACGTGTATGCGTATGTATATAGAACATGTACATATATGTCAATGTGTATATAAATGTAAATGTATATAACACATAATTATGTTTGTCAGCTTATTTAGTTTCTCTATCAGATTCTTGACTGTAGGCTCCAAGAATACAGAGATTGTGTGTCTTTGACCCTTGAATCCTCAGTGCCTAGCACAGTGCCTGGCACGTAGGAGGACGTAGAAAAGTAACTTAGTGAATGAATAAATGAGTCAATGAGCGCTGACCCACATGATCTCTCAAGTTCAGTCCAGCTGAAATAGTTTGAGTCTAAGGTTTCCGGTCAAGAGTCTCATTCCAGGACCTCCCCCAGAGGTCCTCTAGGGGGAAGGTGCGAGTTGTGCAGCGAGCAGGCTGGAAGCCTAGGCCCTCTTGCTGGACTCGGGCGATCGCGGACCGCGATTAGCGCAAGTCCCGGGCCTGCTGCGTCCCGCCTCCTAGCCGGCGGCGGGGGCGGGGCCAGGCCGCTTACAACCCACGGTTTTCAAGGTGTTCGGGGGACGGAGCGCGGGTGGCTAGGAGGCGCGTTCAAACGCGAATCAATGGAGGGGCGGGGCCAGGAGGCTCCCCTCCCCCCAGCCTGCGGGCGCAGGGGGCGGGGCCCCAACCCCTTGAGTTTCCCGCGTGGGGGCTTGAGCCCGGCCGTTGCCTAGCAACGCCCCGCCCCGCCCCCCGCGAGCCGCGGCGGGCGCCAGCCCCCAGCATGGCCTGGCAAGCCTGGCCTGCGCCGTGTCTGTGGGTCGCCAGCGGCGGACTGCTGCTGCTTGTCCTCGCTCTGCTCCTGACCCCCCGCAGCTGCCGAGCGCGGCGGACCCTCCGCGGCCTGTTCATGGCGCGCAGCAAGCGGCTGCTCTTCCGTATCGGGTCAGTGCGGGGCTCCAGCGGGATGCGGAGCTCGGGAAAGCGGCCTCGCTGGGAAACGGGGCTGACTGGCGGCGGGTGCGGGGGGCTTGGGGTTAGTACGGGGCCAGGGCGCGGGGGACCCAGGTTCAGAGAGGAGCGATCGGAGAGACGGGCTAGAGAAAGCATTGATACGGGGGGAAAGAGAAGTTAGGGGTTTGGAAGATTGGTATGCGCTGGGAAAGGAGGATTGGAGGGGCAAGCCAGGGTGGCCAGAAATGGGGCGTGAGAGGACTTCTGGAGGAAAGAGAAATGAGGAGCTGGAAAAGGAGGGTGGGTGCAGTATCCCGGGTCGGGAAGGCCCCGATGGGCGGCAGGTGCAGGGTAAATGGAATGCTGCGAACCATCCAAGTGTCATTTGAAACCGCCAGCTCCTTCCACGTGTCTCTGCCCCTGTTCCAATCACCCAACTCACCGTACAAGCCCTTCTGTCCCAAGCAAGAGTCACAGTTGGGTAGGTCAGTCTGTCCCATCCCCCTATCCTTGTGGGAAGCCCCAGGCTGTGAAATTCGACTCTACTTACTCTGCTCGACATGTAAAGGTTTACCGACCTCCAGTAACTTTTTACTGTTCGACCCCTCCGCCAAATCCTCCCTCCCCGTTTTCCCTCTTCCCTTCCCCCTACTTCTGCCCCTTCCCGGGCCAGTCGAGGTAGGCTAATCAGCTCTGTTATGCTGGAGAGGCTAATCAGCTCTGTTATGCTGAGGCGTGGAGAGGCAGGGAAGGAACCCCAAGAAGGCTTCCTAGGGTCCCTGTCCCCTTTTTGCTACTAGCAGAGCCGGGGGCGGGACCTCCAGCCCCAATTTAAGGACAGGGATGTTGGGGATGGGAAGTGTGGGAGCTGCGCCCCATGCCAGTTTCAGGGGAGGACGAGAGTTGGGAAATTCCTGAGCTTGGAGAAGGCGTTGCACAACTCTCTCCTCCTACCCTAGACCACCCCAGACATCCCAGAAGCCTCAGCCCGAGGATTCTCCCCACACTCGGTCTAAGAGATAGATGGAAGGGCCTAGTTGGGGGAAACTGGAAAAATATGGCGGGGTCGGGTTGGCCGCGGGGGCGGGGGCGGTGCTCGGAGTCCTGTGTGCGCTTTCTGGGGCATTCACGTTTCCGATATCCCAAACCTTGGTCACATCTCGGTAACGCACCGACCAAGTCACTATTGCTCTGCTAATAGCATTCAACTCATGAGATTTATAAATATTTAAATGTTTTTGTATTTTGGAGTTAAAAAAAAACACACACACACATTTCTCCCCACAAGATTTTTTTTGGAAATTGTACAGTTCCATTTGGGGAGGGATTTTTTAAACTACTTCTAGCTTTCAAAATCGGTGATGCTGAAGTCATTGTTCAGACGGCCTGAGGAAGTAGAAAATAGAAGTTTCCACAAGGAACTGGAATCAGAAATACCGAGATGAGCCCTCCCAAGGTTGCCTTACTCAGAGCCCTGGGTATTCCTAGAATTTTGGCTCTGGGAGTTTCCCAGTCCCCATACGCGGAACTCTCCGTCTTTGGCAGTCAGCGTTCCTGGGGGTTTCCTGTATTTCAAGGTAGCCTTGGAGTCTGCTCCCCGAATTTGCAGAGCAGAAGGGCGTGCCTGGAGTCAGAGTTCCAGATCCTGCCCCTCCAGGGTCTGGGAAACAATCAGGCCAGTCCCCTGGGGGAGAGGCAGAGGGCTGCTGGGAGGGGCCGGGGTGTGGGCAGGAAACCGGCTGGGGAAAGAGAGCAGGTGTTGCTCCGTGGGGGCGCCTCCAGGAAGGATGGAGAAGGAGGGGCTGGATGGGACAGGACAGGATGGGGAGGGGCAGAGTGCACGGGCACACTGCACCCTGGACAACTGCGCCCTGGACAAGTGACCGAGAGGACCACAAACAGAGGAGTCTGCTGGGGGCTTGCTGGAGGCTGGGACACAGCAATGGGAATACTAAGTCGGTGCCTGAAAGAGGAGAGGCGGTTCATGCCATCATAACTGATGATAACCGCTGGTGTCTGCCATCTTATAAAGGGCTTTCCTCAGACACAACCACCGCTGTGTTGGGATGGGGATAACAGGGCACAGTGGAGGGCGCATCTGGGCTGCCCTGAGGGAGGCACATGGGTCTGGGATTCTGCAGGGTCTGGGAGACGACCTGCGGACTAGTTGGGCACAGAGCATGTGGGGTTGGGCAAATCCGCTTTTGAATCCTAGCTTTGTTGCTTAGTAACCGGGTGACCTTGGACAAAGCCTCAGCCAGGTGACCTTAGCCTCACTGTGCCTCAGTTGTTTGCCTCTGTAAAATGAGCACAGTGATAGCACCTACATCCTGGAGCTCCTGTGAGGATCAAATGAAACTGCACGTACATGCACAGGGCCTGACTCGTAGTACACGCTCAGGAAGTGTTAGCAATTGCTCTTTCTGTAACAGGGGGGTGGGTGGGAGGGAACCTGGTGCTAGGCAGGCTCCTCGGGAGCTTCCTTCGTAGTTCTGTTCCTGTCTTCCAAGCCTGTCCTGCCCATCTACCAATCAGGAAACCCCTCGTCCCTTCCACCCTGGGTCACCCTGCATCGGGATTGTGGGATCACAGATGTGAGCAGTCTGGGAGTTGCTCTCAAGGAGTAGGGGGAGGAGCCTGTGAACAGGGACCCAAACTGTGGCAGGAATTAGGGCATGAGAAATTCCCCAGGAGTGGCAGGGTATGCTTAAAGAGGCTGGGGTTGAGAGTGTGGGCTCTTGCCCTGGCTGGTGTGGCTCAGTTAGTTGGAGCATCGTCCCCTAGCCAAAGGGTTGCCAGTCAGGGCTCATACCGGGGTGGCGGGTCCAATCCCTAGCCCCGGGTGTGTACAGAAAGCAACCGATTGATATAAGTGTCCTCAGGTGTGAATAAAAAAGAGTATGGGCACTCCCATGTGTGTCTCCCGCTTCATGCCCCAGCTTCCTTCTCGCCCCTTTGCATTCTCCGTGTTGTGGTGGGGGTTGCGTGGTTTGGAGAACATTGTCCTGAGCAGAGCCTCTGTCTGCAGAGCAGGGCTGAATGGGGAACAAGTCTCGGCCTGTGCAGGGCTGGAATGTCTGCAGAGCTGAGGGAGTGAGTGGTGGCCGCTGGCCAGCCTTTGGGTCTGGACAGTCCTAGCTGACAAAGCCCTTGCTCCCTCCCTGACCATGTCCCCTCTTCACACCTGGGTGATGACCTTTCTTTCTTCCTTTCTATTTTATTTATTTATTTTTAGAGAGTTGGGGAAGGGAGAGAGAAAGAGAAACATCAACTGGTTGCCTCCCGTACAGGCCCCGACCAGGACCAAACCCACAACTCAGGCATGTGCCTTGACTGGGGATTAAACTGGCAACCTTCTGCTTTTGCGGGATACCCAACTAACTGAGCCACACCGGTCAGGGCAAACATCTTTCCACACCTTCCTCATCCAAGTAAAACCACTTGTCCCAGGACAAAGGTTGCCTGCTCCACTTCTGTGAGAGGAAGCCCCTTCTCTGGGGCTTGGGAGACCCACTGGCCTGATTTCGAAGGGTGACAAGAATCCCGAGCTGAGGGCCTTGGGTGAATGACCCACCTGCTCACGGCTGAGTCAAGGCCTGGGAGAGGCAGTGGGCTGGGCATCCATAGCACAGCCTGCAGAGGGGGAGCAGTGGCCTTTTCCTTTCTGTAGCCCTTTGGGACTTCGGTGAGCTGCAGCCCGAGCATCCATAGCAGCCCCTTGGCTCTCCCCTACCCAGCTTCCCCTCTGCTGCTGGGTTAGTCTGCAGACCCTGGCTCTGAGCTCGTGGCCCCTTCTCCAAGCCACACTGCCGGCAAAATGGCGTCCGCACCCTCACTCAGGTCTTCGGGGCTCTCTGACGCCCCCTCCAAGTCTGCTCAAGTCCACCCTCCCCAGGCCATGAGCTTTCACCTTACTTCCACCTGAGGGCCCGTCAGACCTCCCTTCCTCCCTACGCCTTTGCCTGTCAAATTTTGTTGTATTCTCAAAGCTCACCTTCAGAATATATCCAAAATCTGAACAGTGATCCCCACCTCCACTGCTCCTGCCCTGGGCCAACCCGTGGTTTGTCCTCACCTGGCCTCCTAAATGTGGACCGCTTCCTTCGGCCTTTGTACCTCCCACCAGGATGAAACTGTTGACATTTAATTTAGAAACAAGTTGCCTCTCTGCTCAGATGGCGTCAGAGTGGCTCAAAGGCCCCGTGTGACCTTCCCATCTACCATCTCACCTTTTCTACTCCTCTCCTTGCTCATTCTGCCCGGTCACCAGGGCTCTTTGCTGTCCCTCAACCATTCCTAGGTAGCGTCAACTTGGAGCCCTTTCACTGCTGCCTGGAGATGGCCAGGTGACCACACGGCTTGCCGTCCCACCCCTCCTTCAGGCCTCTGCTCAAATTTTATCTGATTAGAGAGGCTGCCCTAAACGCTTCATACAAAAACAGCAGCACCCCACACCTCCATCTGACTCTGCTGTTCTCTCTGACGTCGCTGACTAATTGCCTCGTCTGTTGGTTTATTGATTTCCTCCCCCAACCAGAATGTGAGCCGTGCGAGGGGAAGACACTCTGTTCTCTGCTGTGTCCCAGCTTCAGAAAGAGCCGTTCTTGGCTAAGAGTGGGCCCTCGCTAACTGTCTTTTTAATGAGTGAATGAGTGAAAAGCTTGGCCCAGGCACCAGAACTAGACTGAGAGGGCCTGAGCCCTGACTGGTGTGGCTCTGTTGGGCGTTGTCCCAGAAAGCGAAAGGTCGCCAGTTCAATTCCCAGTCAGGGCACAGGCCTGGGTTTCAGGTTCAGTCGCCAGACAGGGCACCCAGTCCGTGTTTCTCGTTCACATCGATGTTTCTCTCTCTCCCTCCTTTTTCCTCACTCTAAAAACAAATAAATAGAGTCTTAAAGAAGAAAGAAAGAGGAAAGAGGGCCTGAGGTTGGTGGGGAGGGAGCCAAAACAAACAGACCCAAACAAAAACCAAACAAAACCAAGGAGCCTAGG